TAAAAGTACTTTTTAAAAAAAAAAATGTTATGTTAGGGTGCTCACACAATGGAGTAATTTTGGACACTTAAACCCTTGTTTTGTACATGGAGATTTTTTTAATAAGGGTATTTTTTTTCATTAGGAGTGTGTGGCGTCATCCATATGATATGTGACATCATCTATGTGGGTGAAGTCACACCCCATGTAAATGACATCACACCCCTTCTAATGACTAAATATACGATTACTACAAAAACTACATGTACAAAACAATTGTATATAAGTGTCCAAATTTGTTGAGTATAATGATGTGAATACACTAACATAACCCTTTTTTAAAATTGTAAATCATTGTTCGATGTTGCTACTTTGAACACCTAGGGATATTTTTTTAATTTGCTAGTCACTCAAGTTGGGCTAAATAATTCAAATGTCTTGATGGTTCAATGTCCTAAATCTTAAGGGGGGCAAATTAGTTTTTTTTATGATATTTTTTAAGAGGAAAAGTTTATATAAGGTTGCATCTTTAAAATGTAGAATTGCAAATGCACCTCAAAAATCTATCGGAAAGGTTGTTCTAATGCTCTATTTGATCATCTCGACATCAAGATGTATGAATATATAAAAATAAAAAAAAGGATTTGAGTCTAAAAAATAGTGTCTTGCAACACATTATCTAGGCCATCCATTTTCAAGATTTTCACATGTTTATATATCTCCTTGATTTTAACTATTTTTGGAGTTTAAAATTTTCTAATTAGATATGAAAATAGATTTTAAGATAATCCTAAGAATTTTTTACAACAAAATTACATGTTATGATAAAATTTGGAGGTGCGCCTTAATTGGATTGTTTAAGGTTCAACCTTATAGAAACCGCACCCTTTTTTAAAACAACACACTTAAAGAGCAATACGTTTAAGTGTTAAATAGGATGATTTGACTCTTTTAATGATGTTGTACAATAATTTGACTATGTAATCCAAGGTTTCCTTAAAAACAAAGTTGTGCCATGTGATGCAATAACATTGTGGACTTGATGAGACACATGAGACAATGGGAAAGAGGAGGAGCTAGCGAAAGAGGGTGGTTGACGAGACGGCCAGGGCTAGAAGAGCATCACATGTTCATCCCATCTTTACTCTTTTTTATGTTATATTTTTTTTTTATCATTAACAGCACGTTCATTTCTTTTCTTTTTTTTTCAATTTATTCATGGTATATTCATTTCACTATATCCAAATTGATTTACAAGGAAGGATTTCTTGGTAAAATTTTACAATCAAGTCTGTATTTTTATTGTGTTTGTTGTATTTTGCTTATTCATTTTGTTGTTTAGACTTGAGATACACCTTCTAATGGAAGGTGATAGGGACGACAACAACATCGTCATCATCTTTCTTAAAACTTTTCTTTGAGGATAATAACATCATTCATTCTAAATTATTACTTTTTTTAGGATAATAACATCATTCATTCTAAATTATTACTTTTTTGATGTTATAACTCTTAGTATTTTTTGGTTTGAAAAGCATTACTATATATCTCAAAATAACACTATGGTCTTATTATTCTTTCCTAAATTGTTTTGACTATAGTTTTATTATACTTTCTTAAAGTACTTTGTAGAGAGAGAAAGATGTGGGTTTGAGTCCCACATTAAAGAAGAGATATTTTTTTAGCTGTATTTAAGAGCACGTGTTCCCATGTAATATACTCTTAATACAAATAAGAGAAAAGATGCATGTGCGGAGCACACGAAGCGTGATGTGTACGTATACGAAGAGAATGGTGTTTGATGGCGCACTTTGCAATTCACCGTTGCTGCAGCCATCAAGTGAGTGAATGAGCTACATATATTGTAAGGGGCTACATGTAATCCTTTGCAATTCGCCGTTGATGCAGCTATCACGTGAGTTAAGAGGTGCATGTAATCGAAAGGGAGGGCAAATATCGTAATGAGATAGCACTTCTGGGTGCTTGAAAATAAAAAGAGTTCGATATCTAATTTTTCAAAGCTTGATGATGGCACACTTTGCAACTCGTCATTGATGCAACCATCAAGTGAGTTAAGGGGTAATCCTCTGCAATTCGCCGTTGATGCAGCCATCAAGTGAGTTAAGGGGTGCATGTAATCAAAGGGGGGCAAATATCGGGCTACATGTAATCCTTTGCAATTCGTCGTTGATGCAGCCATCAAGTAAGTAAAGGGGTGCATGTAATCGAAGGGAAGGGGGGCAAATATCATCAACCATCAAGTGAGTTAAGGGGCTACATATAATCCTTTGCAATTCGTCGTTAATGCATTTGCAATTCGCCGTTGATGCAGTCATCAAGTAAGTTAATGGGTGCATGTAATCGAAGGGAGGCAAATGTCATTAATCATCAAGTGAGTTAAGGGGCTACATGTAATCCTTTGCAATTTGTTGTTGATGCAGCCATCAAGTGAGTTAAGGCATACATGTAATCGAACGGGGGCAAATATCAGGCTACATATAATCGTCGTTGATGCAGCCATCAAGTGAGTTAATGGGTCGCATGTAATCAAAAGGGGGCAAATATTAGGCTACATGTAATCCTTTGTAATTCGTCCTTGGTGCAGCCATCAAGTGAGTTAAGAGGTGCATGTAATCGAAGGGGGGGCAAATATCATCAACCATCAAGTGAGTTAAGGGGCTACATGTAATCCTTTGCAATTCGTCATCAAGTGAGTTAAGGGGTGCATGTAATCGAAGGGGGTCAAATATCGGCCTACATGTAATCGCTGTTGATGTAGCCATCAAGGGAGTTAAGGGGTGCATGAAATCAAATGGGGGCAAATATCGGGTTACATATAATCCTTTGCAATTCGTCGTTGATACAGCCATCAAGTGAGTTATAGGGTGCATGTAGTTTAAGGGGGGCAAATATCATCAACTATCAAGTGAGTTAAGGGGCTACATGTAATCCTTTGCAATTCGCCATTGATGCAGCCATCAAGTGAGTTAAGGGGTGCATGTAATCGAAAGGGGGCATATATCAGGCTACATGTAATCCTTTGCAATTCGTCGTTTGATGCAGCCATCAAGTGAGTTAAGGGGTGCATATAATCGAATGGGGGGCAAATATCGTAATTAGGTAGCACTTATGCATGCCTGAAAACAAAAAGAGTTCGATTTCTATTTTTTTTAAATTGTCATTTTCTGCTCCCGTTTCACCCAATCAAATTCCAACGATAACTTTCTCAAATCGATTCTTTTGTCTGTTTATGTGTTATACCCAGACCCACCCACCTAGTGCCTCGCCCTTCTCCTCCCTTTTTGGCTCCAATAAATATTTCGTGAGATTTGTAGGTGGGCCAAATGAAGGGTTATTCAAGAGAGTGAAATATGTATAGTGTATATTGTATTTCTTGTGTTTGAGACCAAAAATAAGAAAGGTATTTTTAGTAGGGAAAATGTTTATATAGGGGTGAGGCTCTAAACGATAAAAATTAAGGAACATCTAAAAAATTCATTAGAAGAGGCTATTTCGAGGCTAAAAAATCCTCAAATTGATCATCTCAACATCAAGATGTATAGATGTGGGAAAAAATAGATTTCAAGTCTTAGAAAGAGGGCATCTTGTAATGCATTTTCTAGACTTTCAATTTTCAAGATTTTGTAATTGTTCATAGATTAGCTCGATCTACACTATTTTCTAATTAGAGCTAAAAATAAATTTTCAAGTCATCACAAAGATTTTCAGTACTGAAACAACATCTTTCAACACTATTTGAAGGTGCACTTTATTTTGATTGTTTAGAGCCTTAGCCTTATACAAACCACACCCAATTCGTAGACATTCAGATGCAAAATTTCTGTAACTATTTAAGTAGGGTCGCACTGCGACCTAGGAGAGGGATTCATTGTGGAAATGTCTTTGGGAGGGAGTAAAGGGAATAAAATATCCAGAACATGGATCTAAGGCTTTGTAATTTGAACCCAAAACATCTTGCTACTGCTGGTGAAGGAAACATAATTTTAATTGTAAATACGATTATTTCATGAATTCAGTCACCAGGCATAAAAGTGTGAGAGTTCCAAACCTTCAAACCGTTGTACGACTGTTTTTTAGCTGCATGCTTCATTTTTTGATTGAGTAAAGTTGTTTCTCGTAACCATTGTTTCGAAATCTGAACACTATGGAGCCCACGTATATCCGTGATGGATCGGTGGGCATTGATAAGGATCTGTCTGAATCAGAAATATTTAAAAAATTAAAAATAATAATAATTTACAATATAAGTTTATGTGGGAGAATTTAGAAGAGAATATAGAAAAATATTAGATAAGCCCGAAAAAAAAAAAAACAAAAAAAAAAACCAAAAAAAAAAACAACAAGAAGAAGAAAGAGAGAGAGAGAGAGAGAAAGAATGATGGAGGGTGTTTTAAGAGATAACGAAGCCATTATCAATACCTTCCCATATTCAATTGGTTCTTAGGATAAGGAATCACTGATTTTAAACACTGCTCATAAGTCATAACTTAGAATAGTAATAAAGTCCGGTTTGTATAAGGTTGCAACCTTAAACAATCCAATTAAGGCACAACTCCAAATTTTATCATAACATATAATTTTCATATAAAAAATTATTGAGATTATTTGAAAATTTATTTTTATCTCTAATTATAAAATGTTAAACTCAAAAAATAATTAAAATCAAGTAGATCATAAACATATAAAAATGTTGCAAGATGCATTATTTCTAAAATTCAAAATATTTCTTTTTTAATATTCATTCATCTCAATGAGATGATCTTAGAGGGTTTTTCAACTATTAGAACAAGCTGTTCTGATGAATTTTTGAGCTGGCAACATTATATAATTTTTTTCCTTTTCTGAAAAAAGATTATTTAAAACAAAATCACGAGGCTGTCAGTCGGTGAGCATTGGGCACGGCCGCGATTCTCTCTGGCCCTCTACTTGTCGTTGTCGGGAGGCACTTATTATATTTGTTGTTTGCTACTATTCTGAGTTGTATGCTATTCGTGTTGCTCATTCTTTTATTAAAGAAGTGCATTAGCTTTTGCGGAGTCAACCGCCATTGCTCTTCTACTTTACAATATAAAGCTTCGTTGGGTGGGTGAGGCAGAGAGACATAGGGTAGGTGTTTGTGTGTGCTTTAATGGTGGTGGGAGGGTGGAAATTTGTGGGGTTTGTTGCTCTCATACTTAATGCCTGTTGTATCTCTCTCAGATACACTCAATGGTTCCACTCTCTCGCCTCTTCTTCCCTCAATTTCCAATCCACCGCCCATTTTCTTCGCATGCACCTGCTCCTCAGTCCAAGGTAACACCAAACATCTCTCTCTCTCTCTCTCTCTCTCTCTAAAGGATAGTGATGGGACATGACACTCTCTCTCTCTCTTTGCGAGCGCAGTAGAGAGACCTTTCGGGTAGGAAGCATAAAAATGGAAAAAGGGTTTGCAGTGAGGAGCATGGACATCACTTCAGCAAATGGGACAACTGTACTCAAACAAGAATTCACCTTTCCTGCTAATACACCTCCTTTCAATAGTTGTCATGCTTCCACCATCGTCGAGGTGAGTCTCTGAGAGAGAGACATTTATAATCCCAATTCTTTCAGTTTTCCTCCCCTGCTTTTGGGCCCCTATTCCTTCTTTCTTGCTTCCAATAAATGACCTCCTCAATTTAATTTCTTTGAAAGCAAAATTGCTTCTTTTTTTTCACAGGTTGGAAGGGATCATTTTCTGGTAGCCTACTTTGGGGGCTCTAGGGAGGGCGCACCCGATGTCAAGATCTGGTTGCAAAGATACAAGGTAGCTTCTCTTCTTCCTTCTCTCAAAACCCAACCTTCCCTTTTTTGCTCCAGACCAAGCACCCATTCTCATGAATCAAGAAACAAACAAAATGTATCATAATGTCCCATGCCCCGGGGGGCAACTGAATATAAAGTTTAGAGCTCTGATTGCTTGATGGGTTGGAATGTTTTGGTGGCCATTACTGGTATTTGCCTATCTATCTTCTTTTACTCATAACCATGTTCGTTCTGATGCAAATATCTACTAGCTTCACACACATGTTATTCATTTGACATTGTTCAGCTTGTTAAACTTGGTGTTAGAGCAGTGTTACTCATCCCGTCATCTCTATTTCTCAGGATTTTCAGTATAGAATAATATCGGGAACGTACAATGAATGGATTATTGTGCCTTTTAGCATGTCAATTCTGTTGCCATAGGCACCTTCTTCCTCCAATCCTGTGGAGAATTGGTGTTTGTGTGCCTTGTGAAATTGAACTTAGCTACCCAGCTATTTTTTGCATTTGGAGCATCAGTTCGCTGCTGGTGGTATTATGCTGATATGTAGCTTTGCAGCATGACATGCAAGTTTGTTTACTGTAACTTGTAAATTTGCAAGTCCCAAGTCCTCCAGATGGTTCAGATTGTAGTCTGCTCATTGAAGTCTTATGCCTGTGATAAAGTTGTGAGGTATCACAGCTCTCCCTCTCAAGGTAGTTGTTTCTTTCCCTAATATCAATTTCTACATAAGAATTTCATCTCTTTTTTATTTGCATTGCTCTTAGCAGCATATTTTGACGATATATAATGCCAAACTTTGTATTGGAGTCATTTCGCTCTCTACTGAACATTTGCATTTACCATCTCAATTTTCTCCTTATTGTATCAGAGTTTCCCCTTATGACTAGTTGAAACCATGGAATTCCAAAGGCTCCTTTTGATGTTCCATTCTTTTATGATTGAAGAGGAGGGAGATGTGGTATTCTTTTTGTGAAGTAGAGGATGATTGTCTTCCTGCACATGTGGCCCCTAATTTCAGATCAATGTTTGGCCTCCATAGGATGAGGATCACAATTTCGTTGGTTCCCTAGCAAGATATATCAAAACAACAGGCACGAGAAGTAATATACATGCATTAAGTGCCATGTTGAGGGAGTGATGGAGGGAACAGATAGATAAGAGGAAATTATGGAGAGAATAAGAGAGACATTTTAGGCTTATCATCGTACTAATAATGACCATCTGGATTAATTTCAAATTCAACATCATCCTAATGATCACAGCCTCTCATAGCATGCTGAGAAGAACCATTAGTTTCGGGAACTTGTACTCACAGTGGTGCCGACTCTCCCAAACCTCGTTCCTGAGCTGCTTCCAAAGCCTACCCTTTTAAAGATTAAGATTAGCTTCTCCCTCATTCCTTTCTACTCCTGCTCCCTCCCGCGAACTCCTAATTTTTGCATCTATGGATGGTCTAGATTATAGAGTCAAGAAACTACATGGTTTTCATCATCAGTTACTATTTAGGAAAACTATTTTGTTGAGCACAGAGTTCTTTTGCTTTTTACTTTAACAAAATTCGCAACTGAATAGTATGATAGCTGAAAATGGAAGGAAAATAACCAAGAGTCACACTTTACTTTTGTGGAGAAAGCCTCTTCTCTATGCACATATATAGCTAGTTGTTTCACTAGACATTGAAAATTTTATTTCATTAACTAATTTGTTATAGCCTGCCATACCCAGAAGTGCAGTTAACTTGTAAACTTTTGAGAATATCTCATGCAGGATGGTGTCTGGAGCTTTCCAGTGGCAGTGGATGAGCAGTTTCAAGTTCCTATGTGGAATCCAGTTCTTTTCAAACATCCTTCAAACGAGTTGCTTCTGTTTTACAAAATTGGCCAGGAGGTGCAAAAGTGAGTCTCTTTACCCTATCATAATTGACATTCAGTATTCTTTCTGCCCGTGCTCTCAACTTCAAAACTTATGGTTAAAGTAACACTCCCATGCTCTTGTATTTCCTTGCTTGGCATCTTGTTATCATTTGGTCTAGTTGTTTCTTCAACTTAGTTAGCCATGAGGATGTACTTAGAAGCATTACACTTCTTTTCATAGAGGTGGACTTTCTCTCCTAGGTATAATGATTTTGGATGTTTCTTCATGAGGGGGATCCCATTGGAGCAACTCCTATTACTGGGAAAGGAGGGCATGGTTGCTTGGAAATATCACAAATAAGACCCTTTTAAATATACTTGCAATTGTGACCGATCTTGGTGGGTACTTTCTACTGCATTCCATTTACTCAATCTTTGAGTGGTAGTAGTAATGGCTGCAATCATCTGTGCTCTCGAGTCTCGACTTATATTGGGAGGCTAGGGAGGAAGCACTCTAATAGGTGATCTTTCTCTTTCCTTTTTTCCTTTGACATTTAGAGCTCTCGAGGCACTTGTCACATCCTTGAACTTTGAGGAGTCAATATGTGCAGGCCCTTTTGGAGAAGTTTTAGACTTTGATAAATTGGCAAAACACATACAAGGTTAATCAGTTGGCCTTTTAGCAATTATCTGATTTGGCACAGTCAAGCATAGGTGGCTATTTGATTAGAATTGTAGCATAACGTTAATGCCTGGATGACTTAGGTAGAGATTGCAGAGCCTGCGTGATGATCTTTCGAGAATAGGTTCCCTCTTTTAGGAATGGGAGAAGACTACTTATGCGCCTTTTCCTTCACAAATAAACATACTTGAAAAATGAAGACTGAATTATATCAGACAACTGTAAATAACAGCTGATGAATCCCTAATCTTTAAAAGAAGATGTCTCTTATCAATCACAATCTGTATATCATTAATTTCTTCAAAAAATAAGGATGCCTTTGAACTTCTTGACCAAAAGCAAATGAGATGTGCACCATTCGGAAAAATGCAGATGGAGCGGGTGCATGAAGAGATCACTGGATGGAGGTTTAACTTGGTCAGACAGAGAACAACTTCCACCTGGAATACTAGGACCAATCAAGAATAAGGTACATTTGACTCTTTTGACGTAATGCGAACAAAAGTTCAGACATAAACTAAAACCTGCTCATGCTCTCCTCACCTTAGCCGCTGCTGCTAGATAATGGCAATTTGCTGTGTGGGTCCTCCGTGGAGAGTTGGAACTCTTGGGGAGCATGGATGGAGGTAGGTTGGCTTCTACGTTGATGATATATCAAACCAAAATAGGGAATGCAAGATAGGACAAGATGCATCGTATCTCTGATATTGCAGGTCACAGCAGACTTAGGACGCACTTGGAAAAAATACGGGCCAATATATATTCAGGATGAGCCATTGAGTGTGATTCAGCCTGTGCCATTCCAAACCTCAAACGGGACACTTCGTGTCTTAATGCGATCCTTTGACACCGTCGGTAGAATTTGCATGTCAGAATCAAGAGACGGAGGCGTCACCTGGACTTATGCAGAGCCTACTCAACTTGCTAACCCAAATTCTGGTGGGTGATCACAATGACTTCACCTGTATTTCAGTTGTATTTGGAGTTTGTTTAAAGGATGTGGAAACCAACCAGGTATCGATGGGGTTAAGATTCATGACGGCCGGCTGTTAATTGTATACAATACAATATCAAGGGGGGTCCTCAAAGTTGCATTGTCAAAGGATGATGGGGATTCATGGGATGATGCTATGACATTGGAAGAAAATTTGGGCATGGAATTCTCGTATCCAGCTGTGATACAAAGCAGTGACATGCTTGTCCATGTCACTTATACCTACAACAGAACACAGATTAAGGTATGCAATGTATTCTTTATCAGTGGCTAACCCAGAGAAAGGAGAAAACCGTACGGCTTAGGCACCTTTAGTAGATACCAATTATCTTTTTAATATGTTTTCGGAAATTTTTTCATTTTTTCCTTGCAATTTTCATTATTTGTTAAAGACATGGGTAGGATTGTGTTTATTGTGCAGCATGTTGTCATACAACCAGAAGCTCTGTAATGACTCAAGAAAGCACAAGGAAGCACATTACCTTGCAGGGAATTGTTACGTTTAAAGCACACGGCAGGAAACCTTACAAACTACAAGGGCCCCTTCTCAGATGATGCCAATTGATCCTCATGCCTCCCATCTCATAAAAATCCAGGAATACATTAAATTCATGGAGTACAGAATCTGTTAAAACCACTACATTATGGAACAATATTACAAGTTCAAAGCAATTTAGTAGAATTTTTCTGGCATTCAACGTTCTCTATCCTTTCCTTTCTTTTTGTCCTTTCAAAACCTTGATGTTGGAAGAGAGGTAAGACAAGTTATGGGCAACGAGGTGCAATCTCTAGGAGGAGTTTCCTCCAGAGCAGTAAGAGCTAGCATGGTACAGAGCCTCCGTTAGGTTCTTGAGGGCTTTATCATAGGATACGAAACCCATGAACCAGAATTCGTGCCCATCTCTTGTCAATACCTGAATATACTTTTCTGCCGGGTTCAATCTGTTTGCTGAGGGAGTCACTGCCATTAGCTGGTCAAGCAAAACAACCACCTGCATGCACAAATCTCATGTTACTAACACCACTCTAGACATGCTCAAAAAAGAAAATCTCATTGTCAAATTCTAAGGAATCAGCAGTTACCAACATTTAACAGCAACATAAAAAAATAGATCAAAAAATTATCTAGATCAGTAATTTAACTGCACTTCAAAAGGAAGCCATCTGAAAAACAGAAAGGATCCAACATAGGCAGCGACAACCATATTCTAATCTATGCACAACATATTATTGCCGTATCAAATGTGCACACAACTTACGCTTAAAATCCAACTAGCAACCATTGCAGTTTGGTTCAAGCTCAGAAATTCTTTATTAACTAGGGGCATAGGCCACTAGAGACCATTGCAGTTTGCTTGAAGTTCAGAAATTCTCTATTAACTAGGCGCACAGACCATTGCTCGAATAGCTGTCTTTTCTTAAATTATTAAAAACAAACAAACAAAAAAAGTGGAGCTACGATTTAACGTTTTGAGCCCGAGTTGATTCAGCTAAAACAAAGATGTGCATGTGAAATCAACAGGGAATTGCCACAGTGAGAATACTGAAATTTATGTTGTTCCAAACTAAAGAAATCGGCTGTGAGAGAAGGAGAGAGAAAGAGAACGGATTTTTCAAAAGTTAAATGCTGCATAATACATCTTTTGCATTGTATTGTGCCCAATGAACAATAACAACTCAGATAAATGTACAATATGTTTCATTTTTTTTTTTGCAATGGTACTAACTTTTTTAATTAACTTCATTGATTGATATATAAGAATGTACATCTACATGAATATGAGTACTATGGTTAATCTTGAGCGGTAGTTTCTAACACGAAGAGCAAGCATACTGCAACATTATATTCAAAGTCTATGAAGAGAACATCTTTAATCAAACTTAAGAATTCATTTTGAGGTTCCAATGTCACATAAAAGTAGGATAAGAGGCATACCTTGTAATAAATCCATTCCTGTCGCCCAGGAGCTGGACAGTAACAAAGAGGGTTATCACTGCAGAAGGCAAGCCTCACAGTAGACAGATATAAAGTTCCAATTACAGGTCCTGATGAAGTTGAAAAGTAACAAACAAATGACTTTCGGAGCTGCTCTCCTGGCAAGGTTTCAAACGTCTGTCTGAAAACCTTTTCGACTCCACCTTCAGCTAATACCTTTGTCCCTTGATTAATTCTAGCCATGGCAGCGTCTGTAAGACTAGGACCGGTTTTCACTGCAGCGCGTAGACACAAATATTCATTTCTATATCACATAATGAAAAGAAAGCATCGTCTAGATGGGCAAACAATTATGTAGTCAAGATTAAGGCCCTGTGATATATCCTAAGATCAGCCACACACTAAGGCGCTATGATGTATCCTAAGATCAGCCACACATTAATCTTGGATTCATCATGTCATTAGCCTGCACCATGCACTCGAGGAGACGGTTCATGACATTCAGTGTGGTGATTTAGGCATAAAGGCAAAGATGGAATATGGCTTCTTCAGATGTATTTCTTTTCGTCCATAAAAACATAACAAGAAACAGGGTAGATAAGCTTGGTATATTATGGTAGAATAACTTCAAAAGTTGCACCCTTGACCTCCCCTGTAGAAACACATGTCCCAGAAGTAGCATAAAAGGAAGGGAATCCACAATTGTTCTTCAACATCTCATTAAACAAAAATGCAGTTTACTCCTCAGTTGGAACTGAAAATCAATGTAATAATAAGAACATTTACTTACCATAGAAACAATGATAAGACAATTTACTAAAAAAACAACAACAATAATAATATTAATAAATTAATAATAATGGAGAAAGAGAGGGGGGACTCACAGTGGTGCCACACATTTCCTGCATAACCTTCAGCCTTCTTGGAAGACTCCTCAACTTTCTTACCCCACTTACTCAAGCAACCCATTATCGTATCCATGGGACCTGATACATCCTCCACAAACAAACACAAAAAAGATGATGGCATATTGTTGGTTTCTCTCATTCATTTCCATGTAAAGAAAAAGAAGATAAGAGGACATTTACATACTCTTGCCAGAGGATCCGGAAACAGGAGAGGTGTGCACATATGGATTGGGGGCCTGGGGTTGCGGGGTTACCACATTGTAATTGGCACTGGTGCTGTTGTAATGTGGTAGATATGCCGCTGAATCATAAGAATAATACTTGTTGGGGGAGGGGGAGGGCGATTGTTGCGGAACCCCAACCGACGAGAAGGGGGGCTGCGTATGAGGATTGGCTGGAATTCCCATCACCCAAGTGCCCTCCCAACGCCCACCACCTTCACCATTGCCATTGCCATTGCCATCGCCATTGCCATTGCCGCTCCCTCTTTCTGAAAATGAGAGCTCCTGAGATTGGGTTTTCCCCTGTGCGCTTTGGTGATGATCCATATCAAAGAAATGTCATCAATAAGCACAAGAAAGCGGAAAATCTGAGCTTTTTGCTTCCCCTCCCCTGCTTTATCGAGTCGGAAGAGGTAGGATGTAGGGCGGGCGCGTAGCAGCACCGCTAAGCATCTTATGTTTGATAATTTCAACTTTTTATATGAAGGAAAATGTTTTGATAGGGCTGCGGCCCTTATTTCACTCTTTGAAAATTGTAGTATGGAAAACTTCAATTCAATTTCCTTGACTATTATTATGTTTGTGAAAAAAAAAAATGCAAACTCGACTAGAACATGTTATCTACACAATCCATTTCGCCCTAAAAGCAAATGTTTCACATATCCACAGTATCTATATTGATTTCAGAGTGGAGATTTCACCTATCCACAGTACCTATATTGATTTAAAGGGGGAGATTTTTTATGCCCAATTTGCTTTTGAGACGAGGATTCAAGGTCAAGCTTTAATTTATTTTATAAAAATGGGAAAAAATTATATAGAGCTCAGGCTCTAAATAATCAAATTAGATCCTATCTCAGAAATTTCACTAGAAGAGGTATCTTGAAATTGATTATCTCGACATCAAAATGCATCGACATGAGAAAAAAAAAAATAGAGTTCAAGTTTTGGAAATAGTGTATTTTATAATGTATTTTTGGACTGTCAAATTTCCAGATTTTCAAGTTTTCATAGATCTCTCGATCTACACTATTTTTGAAACTTTAAACTTTATAAATAAAAGTGAAAATATATTTTAAGGCTATCAAAATTATTTCCAGTATTGAAATCATATTTCTTGGCACTATTTGGAGATAGGCTCCCATTTGATTGTTTAGAGCCTAGGCTCCATACAAATCGCACCCTATAAAAATTGCATCCAACAGTGAAACGACCACCGACTTTTTTTGTATCAAGGAAAGAAATAAAGAAAGAAATCGACAAAAGAAGGGGTTTAATGCGTAGCTCTCACGCTTGTCATGTGGGGCCCATTTCAAGACGGTGGAATGTCTTACAAATGCGTGAAAATAGGCTCCCTCTTCTTCTGGGAGAAATTTTATCTAGAGCGGAACCTCTAAACAATAACAGGAGCCTACCTCCAAATTTTCATTAAAAAATATTGTTTTTGCATTCAAATATCTTTAAATTGATCATCTCGACCTTAAAATGCATAAAGATGAAAAAAAAAAAAAAATAGATGTCAAGTTTTGAAAATAAGGTATTTTGTAATGCATTTTTAGACCGTCAATTTTCAAGATTTTCAAGATTTCATAAATACATCCATCTACACTATTTTTAAAGCTTTAAACTTTATAAATAAAGATGAAAATGTATTTTAAAGCTATCAAAAAAAATTTCAGCCATGAAACCACATTTCTCGATACTATTTGATGGTTTAGAGCTTAAGATATCTACAAACCGCAGCCCTTGTCCATTGCTCTACTTTTCCTATTTGATTTATGTAGGTCATTTTGGTTTGCAATATTTGATTTTTGTAGGTCATTTTCGTTTGCAATACGATCGTTTCATTGTCGGCCATTCTTTAAAAAGTACAAATCCCTAGGTTTTTAAGAGGTTGTGAAATGACTTTAGGTTTGAAGTTGATTTTGACAAAACTTCATTGGTTGGGTTTAATTGTTGCGGTGTGAGGTGTGGTGTAAAAAGTTTTTCAATTAAATATTTGGGTTTGCTAATTTAGAGCTCAAGATTCGCTAGAGAAGCTCGGGACCGGTGCAGGAAAATCGTGCGGTTCAAATTCTAACCGTCCAAGTTAGAATTTTGGCCGGTTTTGGTAAACCGGCCAGGTATTTTATAAAAACTTATATAAAAGCTTAAAAAATAAAAGATTATGTTTATAATATATTTTTAATGTTATTCATAATTTTGGCAATGATTAGAAATTGTTTTTGGCCATTAGTACTCATTTTTACATTTCTAATCTCTTTTGGAAAATTTCTAAAATACTTTTGGGCAAAAATCGATTATTTAAAATCTATTTTTCATTAATTTTCAACTTCATTTAGATGTGTTTTGTTTAATCATGCTTTAAATATATTTTTTATATTTTATTAGATTTTTTTGTATTTTTTATTTTTTAAACACTTTTTTTGACCCCTCGGGACTTTGCCCTTTTAAGCCGATTGAACCGCTTCCAGCCCCATGTCTGATTAATCGTTCCAGTTCGATTTTTCCTACACTGCTTGGGACCCATTTCGAAAAGATTTAACACGTTAAGATCCAATCGTTTGGTCATCAAGGAACAAAAACAAAAGAGAAGATAAAAGAAAGCGATGTTGATTGACAAAAGAAGAAGAATTTATGGGAGATCCATCTATATCTAAGGTTTCAATTTGAAATCTTTGTCCTAGTCCTAAAAACATTATGTACTCCGAACTGTTCTGCTTTGATATATGTGATGAATACATACTTATTTTATTAAATTAGACATGTTACGAATAGAACGAGTTGAGTTCCATAAACATGAAAGATTCACTCTTTTGTAGACATTGGAAATCTAAACTCTTTAGTGGGGCGAATTACTTTGATTAAATCGTCTTTGACTAATCTCTCAAATGTCACGTGACATGATTTTCTAATTTCTCAAATGCCTCTTTTTATTATGCCATATGATATGACGAGGAGTTTTTGTGGAGATGTTATAACAAGGTAAAAAGTATCATTTGGTTAGTTGAGATAGAGTGTGCACTCCTAAAAAAAAAAAGATAATTTGAGTGAAAATGTATGAACATTTACAGAAAATATGCTGGTAGTGAACAGAGCGGTGCTCTCAATTGATTGGTAGAGGAAGGAGGGCTTCGCATGAGTCGCACCAATTGAAAGGGAGTCGAGAGAGCATTTGTTGAAAGGAAGAGTTGATGGATTGTAAGAAAGCGGAATAAGGAGTATTTCAGCAACAGAGATGGATTAGTAAAATGCTTTGAAGATTTCATATCCTCAATTATTTGAGCGAATATCCCATCCTATGCCTAAGGTTGAAGAAGTACATGAACCTCATGGGTCTAGAATTATGTGGACAACAAACCCTGATTATAACAGGTACCGTATCTCTTTTTTGTGCGACTTAAGAGGTCTGTTGAAGGAGCTAGAAAGTGTTCACGTTTTCACATGGTGCTATTGATGAATTCCTTCGACGTTGGTGCTACTGATGAATTCCTTTGGTAAATCGAAAATGATATATTACTCAATGTTAACCAGCTTGATTTGTTTGAACATTAGATTTTTCATGCTAGGACCACAATGACAGTTATCACACTTCTCTGTCTCCCAATATTATATCATCACAATGACTTGCAACTTCACTCCTTCCCTTTCTTATTTCACTTTTACTCTTTGAATTTGTGACGTACGGGACATTGATCCCATTGTATTTAAGTAGGAGGATGAATTATAGACAAGAAAAAATGGAAAAATCATTTAAGATGGGGCAAAATTTCCTTGAATAAAATTTTGGAAATAGAATACCTCCATAAGGTTCTTATGTGGATATTGTTGTAGGGAAAAGTATTAACAGTGGGTATATCTATTTATGATGTAAGGAGAGTGATAAAATCACAAAATGGGTATATCGATGGTGCTTCCAAGGAAGCATAAGGAGATTTTAAAGCAGTTAAATCTTGATGGTTGAGCTAAAGTTGGGAGAGTAATCTTTACAGGCGGCCATTTTATGGACAGTTTTGATGGAGAGGAGTAAAAGAACATATGAAGGGCTCATTTCAAATGTAGAGGTGGTAGAAAACAAAATTATACATACTCTTTGGAGCTGGTTTTCAGTTGCAACAGAGGGTAAAAGGGTCTCTAAGGTAGATGTGGAACTGTGGTCAAGGTGAGACCGAAGGGAAAATTGGAGCCTCCATAGGATGTTTAAAGTTGAATTTTGATGGGAGCTCTTTTGAACATCAAGAGCCACATTGGAGCCTCCATAGGATGTTTAAAGTTGAATTTTGATGGGAGCTCTTTTGAACATCAAGAGCCACATCGGGTATGTAGAATACTTTGAAATAGTGGTGACGTATTAATTTTTTTCTTTGATGGCATGTGCGTTTGTTTCTTTCCAACTAATAAAATTATGTTATCTTCTTGTCACAAAAAAAAGTGAGCCATCAGTTCCATTTCAATGGAACGGAAAAATCTCAGCTTGCAAAATAGAAAAAACATTGAAAACTAAAAAATAGAAGTAAGCCTAAAAATTAAAATATAGTTTTAAATCGTGCATTAACTAATTGTAGGCTAAAGATAATACAATGCATAACAAAAACCTTAATGAAATTTAGCAAAAAAAAAAAATGCACAATTCTTTTAGAAAAACCTTTTTTTTTCACAAAAAAAATAATTCATGACCCAATATTTCAAAAATTTCCAAGATATTGCCTTAGATTATGCAATACTATTGTAGATCGAGGATGTCATTCTAAACAAGAAGGCGCAAAGGCAGTTTGACATATCTTATGAAATGTCATTGGGAAATTGCATTGTAGATATAGTAGAAGACCCAAATGTGGTTTGACATTTACATGAACTTTTGTTGGGAACACTGGGAAAAGGCAAAGAAATGGTAGATGGAGGTTCTGAGCTAAAAACGCTAAAAACGCTAAAAACGGGGAAAAACGGGGAAAAATTTCTCTCTGGATCTTGCTAAAAGTTAATTTTGATCCAAAATTTCCTTTAGGGCTATCCTTGTTTCGGGTGAATACCTTTTAGGGCTATTGTAGATTAAAGAATGATGAACAATTTATTACAGATGAACAATGTCAGGTGGAGCGGAGCTCAACAGGTGGGTTTTATGTTCCCTCCCCCCACTGCACCATTTTTCCTTTTGCCGCGTTTTTATTGCCCTCCACGTCTTCATTTCTATTGATCAAGGAGTTTACACTAACCAGTCCATCAATTTCTTCTTCCTCACGGTTTCTTTGCAGAGGGAAGATAGAAAGAGAGTGATACACATATCACCCACCCATGTGTTGCCCATATTTATATATTCATAAGAGATGTGTATATAACTAAAATTAAATGGGCAAAATAAAAATATGCAACTAGAATTTTATGTAATTACAATATGTCAATGAAGTTGAAGGGGAAGTAATATAAGACAATTGTAAAATCAACTTTGCTTTATGAAGAAGAATATCTATAATGAAAAAATAACATACCCGTAGAATGAATGTAGCTGAGATAATAATGTTGAGATGGATGAAAGACAAGTTAATAAAGGATAAAATTTGAAACAAATACATTAAGAAGAACTCAAGTGTAGCTCCAATAAACGATAAGATAAGATAAATTAGACTTAATAGAGCCTAACCATGTACAACGGACGATAAGATGAGAAAAATTAGACTTAATAAGGATTAACCATGTGCAGCACATACCCAGTACAACACCTATTAGAAGGTTCAAATTAGTTCAAATGGAATGCTAAAAAAATAAAAAATAGACCCAAAAAAATTGGTTGAAAGTAGATAGAAACTATATAGAGACTTATAGCCTCACTGAAGGTATGGCCTCATTCTGCGTAAATCTAATCAAGAAAAAAACAAACCATTTTCCTTCTAAAATGCAGGAAAAGAGTTCGGTAAAACGTTTGAATGAAAATTTACACCCCAAGAGTAGTCAGATGCCAATTTGGATGCGCAGCATCGTCCTCCACTCAAAGTTTGTTATATTCATTTGATAGACTTTGACCAAGGAATGACACACCCAAGCAATCGCCTTTCATATCGCAGTAAGGGTTTGCTTCCCATCCAAAATTTTACAGATTTCTCTTTTCTGCTTGGTACATGTATTTGGGATGAATGCAACCTGGAGGCATCAAAAGCACATGATTTACCCTGGTTGAAAGGTAGCAGTTGGTGAGGCACTGTATCTATGTTACATTCTCAGTCACAACACAAACTCTAAGGCAACGAATGCATGCATCGGATTTCAAGTATATGGAAGAATCATTTATCAGATGCATCAAACTGCTCATCTTCCGCAAAGTCATATGCCATTTCCATTAGGAATAGCTCCATGCTTAACCTAATGGCAGTCATTCAGGATTCACGTTTCTATTTAACAAGCGAACATTGTGAAGGAAAAACAAGGATCGAAAGGAAGCATCAAGACAAGCAAGAAGACTAACATGTGTATATACAAAGACGTCTAACATCGTCAGTTCGAACCTTCAAAAGACACCTACCAAGAGATTTTCATCATCATCATCACCGTTCCCATTCTCTAGTAACCCCCTTGAATATAAGCATTCAGGCGATCCAGCTCATCACGGTGCTCACTAACAACTGCACGAACAACATCCCCGATAGACACCATGCCCACCATGTCTTTCCCATCAATGACCGGAATGTGCCTGATGCGGTTATCTGTCAACATGAAACAAACACCACTTGAATCACAGCCATAATAGTAATCTTGCAAGAAGAAGCTATTACAGCCTTTTACCTGTCATCAGTTGCATCGCCCGAAGAACCTTGGTATCTGGGGTTACCGTAATTAGCTTGTTCTGTGAAAATAGAAAAGGGCATTAATTAGAAAATTTATGAGGGAGTGGTTTGGTGGACATTGGCTGAAAATAGGTGAAGACAAAGCCATACCTCTTCTGTCATGATGTCACCAACTTTAGTAGACTTGGATGATCTTCCCTGCACAATAATCTTCCTAAGATAATCTGTCAGAAAAAAATATCCTGAATGTTAAAGTTTGACCACCCTGAGAATCCCAAGGTGATCCTCCATTTATAAATGTGTGAAGAGGAAGGAGACAGATGTTGACAGAAAATTAGTGGATGATCGATATTAAACATTTAGCAATACATAAAAAAACTCAACCATGGCATTATTATTTCACTTGGAAAAGAACCTGTGAAGAAATGCGAACCAAATTCCCTTTTTCCATCAAATGAAATAAAACACCACATAAAACTGTAACCACATTTTATCAGCACCATATCCATACTAATTTGTAACACACCCTGTGGTGAAGTGTAACACAATGAGATCATCTGTGGTGAAGTGTAACACAATGAGCTCGTATTTATGTTTCTTTGTCTTTTGATCAATGATTCCAAATTTACTCGTATACATACATGTCATTCCAAGTATGGCCAGACAGATCTGGACAATCGTATGTACAATTTGTTGGAAATTGTGTACAAAGAGCAGGTTTAACATTTACAAACTATTCTAAGAAAGTAAGCCACTTTTTGTTTCTACTGGTTAGCCAATTATAGCTGGTGAGATCTTTGAGTCATTTAAGTGGCTTTGATAATCAAAAGTTGAAACATTATTTTAATCTTAGGTAATTAACTTTGGCTTAAGGAATTCTCTACACTGTCCAAAAACCATGACAGAGAAAAAGAAAGATGATACCATTCTTTTCCCTTTATTTTGCCTTGTTTTATTCTTCATAACTTGATCAGTTAACTGCATGAAAATCCTACCAAGGACCATGACAAGCACCATCTCTATTGCTGCCCATGCATGTATGTCACCTCAGGCTCAGGTGAACTTCATGGGTGGGAACCAGAATAACATATCATGTGATTCTACGACTAAAAAATGCATAATGGCTACAGTATTATCATTGTTATATTCACTTTACTTTGGGCTTTAGAGTAAAGTGAAGCATAGTAAAAAAGCCTTCCAGCACATGAGGCCCAAAGAGGACTCCTCTGCGCACTAGGGAGTTCAGGAAGAAAGGCCACATTTTCTAGCCTTCTAGGCCATCTTGTTCAGAGGCAACCCTCGAGAAAAGCTTACCTTCAATCCGGTGGGATTTGAAGGCTCAATAACCCACCATGCCATACATTTACCAATAGCAAAAGTGACAGCATACATTTGAAAGCCTTTCCCACTAGCAACATCATGAACTTCAAGCAAAAGAAAGCAATACAAGCCAGCAACAGAAGCAAAGAAAAAACTTGTTACTAACCGCTTTCCATGCATCCCAAGAAAAAAATAATACCTCTTTCAGTGATAATTCCAGCAATTGATTTTTGTTCCCCCGGCTTGACCACCACCAAAGCTCCCACATTATGTTGTGTCATCTGCAATATGCATATAGTCAACTAAAACACTAAATCTCTTCAGAGTAAAGAAAAGAGTCAAAGTTACTTATTCTAACAGGTTCTAAATAAAAAAAAAGTTCCTACAAACGGATAAAAGATAGTCCGAGCCAGAATGGCCATATGGTAAATTTAGAACATAAAACACTCACAGACTGCACTGCATCATAAACGGTGTCATCTGTCGTGCACCAAAGCCAAGATCCATCAGCACTTTTACCCTTGCCTTTCAGAACGTCAGAGATAGTCGTGCTCTCAAACCCATGCTCTTCCAGACGACTCGAGGAAGATGGCGCAGAGAAAAAACGTGGAGAGGGTCGTGTAACCGAATCTGGTATGACACGAATATGCTGCAAGACTGCACGTTTGAGAATGCTGCCATGAGATCGGAGGGATTGAATAGCTCCTTGCATGACTTTTGCCTGGCAAGATAGAAAAAGAGGATCAATCATCACGGTGAGGCAGAAGGAAACATGACCACCTTAAAACACCAACATCATACCTACTTGTCACAGAAGAATCCGATAGCCAATTCAGCATCCACCAAATAAACATATAAAAGAAATCTAACATATAAATCTAACCAGAGAAAGCAAGGATTTTCATATCAAACTACTTTGATTGCAGATTCCTACAACCCTCAAAAGAACATTAGCCAAATCTGGTTTCTTCTCTTTTGTCCATTGGTGTTCTAGATCATTGTTTTATTTCCTAAAGAACGCATTCATGTATATAGCAAGGTAAAGCTTACAAAAATTACCGAAACATATACTCATGCATGATTTTCATATAGTGAGAGATGAACCATCCAAAACATGAATAAAAGACCATTTGTTGTGGAAGGTAACATGGTAAACCATCATTTCTAGATGTAATACCATGCAACTGCTTTCCTTTTTCCTTTTCGAGGTGCTTTTCAATAGTTCCAAATCCCAAATATTAAGATGCCAATCGAACCAGCAAGAGTCAAAACTTGAGCAAGTTTGGTTGGTAGTAAAGCAAATGTATGAATGACATCTAAAAGGGAGTGTCTAGAGGATTATAGAGGAACCCAGGAGATATATAAGTTTCTAGGTGTTGCAAAGGATTTTCAAGCAACTTAACATCAGGTTGAATGAAACATTCAAGGCCCATGGGCAAGCCAGCTAAATAATGAGAGCATGTAACTGTCATTTATGAGGTAATTAATCTGATGAGCTTTATTAAGGTCTCAGAGAAGCAGGCCCTCTTTATAAGTTAACAAACAAATGACTTAGATTTAAGTAGTATCTCAACACAAATGCCTATCGCCTCTCCGAGCTACATATGTTTCAAAGTTTAAGGTTTTAGTCTGAACATCACTCTAAAGATATAACAGGATGCCTCATTGCTCATTGAATGATATATAAGGCTTCATCTTTTTTTATCTTTTTTTAATTATATAACAGGATGCCGCATTGCTCATTGAGTGAGTATCTCGATACAGGTCATGGGGCTACTCAAAATGAGGGGGAGAGAAAAAAAACTATTTGGAGGAATCATAACACACAATGGCATTAATGGCGATATTTTTTTGGAAAGATTCTCAAGGATGTTGTAGTTATACAACAGCAAGCAATGTTAATCCAAGACAGAAATTCCTGACAATTATAAGGGGAATCAAAACGAATAGAAAATATATGCACATCGAGGATGATTAGTTGGTATGGGGGAGAGAGATTTACTTCTTCTTTTTTCTTTAGTTTGTATTTAAAAGGGAAAGACATCCCTATTATGGGAGATGGTGAATGGAATAAAGAAATTGTTCCGGGTCTTGTGAAAACATCTTCAGGATAGACTCCTTGCAGACCCTAAAAGAGGGTATAACACTATAATCTCTCATCCTCTTTTCTTTTCTTTTTTTTTAATAATATTTTCTCCCTGCATCATGGCATCTGATGTTGAGTTTAAATGGTTGACGCATTTGATGTGAATAACATCATGGAGGCAACAAGCGACAATAAACTCCAGACAAAACTGTATGGAAAGAGCGGAAGAAGAAAAAGAACATGTGGTTTGAGCAGAAATGATCCAGTGAGTATTGGAGTTATCGGGAACAAAATCATGAGTTGCTTACTTTATTGACATTATAAGAATCATGTATTATTGTTTTTTTTATCTTTGTAAGGGAAGACCACGAGTTGATAGAATACAACAACCAGAGTGCAGCAAACATTATCATCTCAGCCAGGCCTCTTGAAACGAACAATTTGTAAATAACAATAATAATAACGAATCACTTATGTAGCAGTGAAATGGAGTAGCAGAGTTTGAGAAGGCCAGTAGCAACAGCAATCGTGTCATAATAATAGTAAAACCCTCTCAAATCCGCAGACAGGTAACTTATGTGATCAATGTTTATGCGTTCAAATCCACAAACAATTGGTGGAACTAATTCAACCTCAGCTCATACGCCAGGGCAGGCAAAGAGGGAACATAATCAATCGATACAGAGATATCACAAATCTAAGAGAAATAAGAGAGGACTTAGAGAGAGAAGAGAAAAGCGTGAGAAGAAGAGGAGGATACCTGAGTGGTGGGGGAGAGAGAGGCGTCGCTGGCGGAGGCGGAGGCGGAGGCGGAGGCGGAATGAGAGACAGGGGAAGGAACTATGGATGGATGATGAAAGCCCACCAAATCCCTGTCATATACGAGGGAAATAATAGGAAAATGGGTGTGAATAGCAAATTTAGTACTATTTTTATAATAATGATGCTACGCGCACTTATCCATTTGCTGCACGTGTCCACGCACCTCTCTCTCGCTGAGTCACTCGACTATGCAAGAATAGGATGATGAGTATCCCCTCACTCTCTTTGCGCTCGCTCGCGACTTTCTATTGTAGGAGGAAGAGGAAGATGGAAGGATTGTTTTTACGCGGCCTGGACACCATTTCTACAATATGTGGTCCAGAGCTATAAACCATTCATCTCAGATCAAAAATGGATGTGGTCCAGAGGTATAAACCATTCATCTCAAATAAAAAATGGATGGAAATAGGTACATTTGTTTTCGGTTCAAATGTTTTCTTAATATGATTATTATTTTTTATTTTTTATTTATTTATTTTTTTAAATCCACGATCTCTAAATTAAAATACTATTTTTATCAAGCATAACATAATTTATATGTATATGAAATTTGAAATACTACACGTTATGGATACCCGTAGACGAGACTGCCATGGTAACCACCGTGCAAGGTAGGAAAGAAATCGCAAAGTAACCTAACCGATGGACGTTGCCGATAAGTCTCTTTGGCCCACATATGCAAATGTCATTCATGAGTAAGCGGGTGCAAGAGCTTGCTGACTCAGTAAGATGGATGTTGTAAAAAAATTCATTGGTGTATAAATTTTCCGTAAAAATATCACATGTTAAATATTAAAATTTTATTTTTTTCGTATTCATTACCATCTTAACATAGATCATGAATCCCCAAAATTGTAAATTAAAGACACATGTTTAAGATAGGTTGAAGTTGAGGCCCGCATATGCTCAGCTCATTGAAACCCCATCCATAATACATATATCCAAATATATAAAACGGATATGGGAGAAGGGTTGATGTGTACTTAGGAATCTTGGGAAGTGGAGCCCACCCGTCACATGCATAGCCCCACCCTGCCCTACCAAAAGTTTATTGCTTGCACGCATTCACCGTGACGGTAGTTGCATTATGGGCCGAGTACCTTTCCGTTTACTTTTCGGTAAATTTTAAATTTCATTACTAAGGGTATTGCTTGAGGAATTTATGCACCAACGATTCTTCTCCAATTTGTTACGGTACGCTTCACATTTTCCACAAAATTACGTGGAGATCCCACCCGCTTTTTCTTTTCTTTTTTTTAATTTCCCCTGCATGACAACTCAAGCATTAGATAGGTGGGGCGTTCACTTTTTTTTCTCTTTTTTTTTTTTTAAATGAAAAATTATCATTAATATACTTTAATTTTAAAAAAATCGTAAAAAAAACCCCCAACTTCTCAAAACCTCTTCCACACCACTTTTCTCAATTTTAAAGATTTTTTGGACAAAAATACCATTTACGCTAATCTTTCTACCGTAATCCACTTTAAATGTATTACGGTAAAAAAGTTATCATAATAGTGTGGAGATATATTACAATACTTCAAGTACCGTAATGAACATTACGGTAATTTAAATACCGTAAAGAACATTACAGTACTTTAATTACCGTAATACATAAATATATTATTCGTGGCATTCTTAATACCGTAATGCTTTGAAAAGCTTCAAACCGAAGCTAATATCAAGGCTACCCATCTTTCTCTCACGCTCTGCGAAATCAAAACCAAATGACACATTTTTTTTTGTAAAATCCCAAAAATGTCTCTCTAATATTTCACTTTCGAATAAATACGGAGAAAAATTGTAACAAATTCGATTTTTTTTTTTTTTCTTAATGTATATATCGTATACAGATTACACACCCCTATGTGGGTATTTTGCAGTAAAAAATAAATGGTTCTACAAATTCCTAGAGAGATAAATAGACTCTGATCTCCTACGTGATATTTTGTTAGGCTTCCCTAATTTTAAAGACCAATTGTCAGTGCGCAATTTTTATCAATGTTCCATAGTGGTACCTCATCTTTAATAGGACAATCAACCCCTTCTTGACCCAATGGACCAAGATCAAATTTATCTTTGCTGGCCCACCCAGAGTCTCTTTCTTTCTCTAGGAATTTGTAGAACCATTTTTTTTCTCTGTAAAATACCTACATGATGATAGGTAATTTGTATACGGTATGTACATTAAGAAAAAAAAATTCTTGAATTGTTCCAATTTTGCTCTGTATTTATTTGAAAATGAAATATTAGAGATAAACTTTTGAGATTTTGCAAAAAAAAATGTGTCCTTTAGTTTTGATTTCGCATAGCGTGGGAGGAGATGCGTAGCCCTGATATTAGCTTCGGTTTGAAGCTTTTCAAAACATTACGGTACTAAGAATGCCGTGAAAAATATATTTATGTATTACGGCAATTAAAGCATTGTAATGTTCTTTACGGTATTTAAATTACCGTAATGTTCATTACGGTACTCGAAGTACCATAATGTATCTTCACACCATTATGGTAGTCTTTCTACCGTAATACATTCAAAATGTATTACGGGAGAAAGACTACCGTAAAGGGTATTTTCATCCAAAAAATTGGAAAAAAAGGGTGTAGGCGAGGTTTTGGAAAGTTGGGGGTTTTTTTGTGATTTTTTAAAAAATAAGGTATACTAACGATAATTTCCCAAAAACATTTCAAGGCTTATTTGATATCAAAAATAACAAACACCTCCATCGCTTGGTCTTTGCGATATGGACGCGGTTAGCATGCTTCAATGCCCGCACATGTAGAAATGCAAGCCCTTTAATAAATTTATTTTTGAAATAGAATTCGATCTTAAATTTTAGAGAATATATAATTTTGAATATTAAGATCATGAATATGAAAATAAATAAAATTAAAAAATTAGAAATAATAATTCTAGTAAGAAAACATTTGTGGACTGTCAATTTCAATTGTTTTAGATAGACCACCTATTTGCATCCATCTTTAAAATCGATGGACCGCATATTGTACAAATGTGGTCTAACTTGCATGAAACAATTGTTCATTCGATATTGAGGATGTCGGAGAAGCTTAAAACCCCTGTATGTTTGATGTTGTGATATCATATACATCCAAATCTTTTCCTTTAGATTGTCCACTGTTACTAACACCAGACACATCGTCCATCAGTAAGAAACGTGTTTGGTGTTTAAAACATCGAACTGCCCAAAGGCAAAGATTTGGAAATGTTAGGCAGTCCAATGTTACCAACATCTGACACCTCATTCTTCGAGAAAGACCTATCCAGTGTTACAAATATTGGACAACCCAAAGGCAGAGATTTAAATATGTTAGGTTGTCTGATGTAGTTAACACCAAACACCTTATCCCTTTGCAAGATACCTATCTAGTATTGAAAATTATAGATAGCGCAAAAGCAGAGATTTTGAGATGTTCAATATCATTGGGGTTGAACACATTTAGGGATTCAGGGTTTTCCAACATGGTCAATATCAAACAAATCAAAAGAAAGGAGGGATATATTGGACATGCCTTTTAAAAAGAAGTGAATTTCCATTTTGAAAATATTGGACTGTGGGGGGACGCAAAACTCAAAAGAAAGGCGGGCTGGGACAATTAGGAAAATTCAAAACCTGCTGCAATTAAAGGCCAAAAAACTTGTCTGCACATAAATTTTTATAGAATTTTTGGTCGTCCCAAGAGTTTCCTGCAGTAGAACCAAGGTTTAAAAAAATAAATTGGTGAATTGGATCGGCCACTCCAAATATCAGGTTGGATCAGTGGATCGGCCAATTTCAGGTTATAAAGATTTAAAAAACTCACTTAAAATAGTGTTTTTTGAGTTAAGAAAAACATGGGGGCGATGCATTATGTACTTTCACTATTTTACAAACATATGTCAATATTGAGACGTCGTTTTTATGTCTAGATGTCTATTGGCCCTTGAATATTTTAAAGTTATTTTTTCCTTTGCAATGTCTTAGTTTTATTTGAACGTTAAAGAAACCAAAAGGAAAAAAAGAAATAGATGTCGCATTATCTTAATTTTCTTTCTTGACTAAGTTTTCTTTATACCATATAAGTTTATTTATATAACTTTGAAATTTGCTACATCGTATAAAATCAAAACTATATGGTGTAAATAAGCTATGATGTAAAATGCTTAGAAATTAGCTAATTTAGAATGATGTTGTAAACTTTTAAAATTAGTTATGACGTAAAATAACTATGTTGTAGATTAACTATGTTTAAACTATGGCGTGAAGAAAATATAGCTAAGTTTATACTAAATAAACTATATAAATAAAGTAGTTTTAATTTTTAATTATGTAAATAAAGAAATAAACTATGTAAATAGCCATGTATGTCTGCCGAGCATTGTAAATGTCTCGTATGTAAACTTGCTCCCAAAGGGTCTGTAAAATGCCTCGTATGTAAAATCGTTCCCAAAGTTTTGTCATGCGTTGAATTCTTATAGTAAAAAAATGGGAGAATTTGTCCTGAAGATTAAAAGGTGTGAGAGCTTCTATAGAAGCATCACACACTAACAAGGCAGTGTGTTGAGTTTCATGCCTTGATAAAAAATTTAAAATACGGGGACAGGCCTCCGGATTTAAAGAGAAAAATGAAAAACCCATTGAAGTCTCCGGATTTAAAGAAAAAAATTAAAAACCCAAAGAGTTATATATGGGTGACGCCCTAAATAATTAAATTAAGATACACTTCAAAATTCCGCTATAAGTTGTTATTTGGATGCCTACAAATATATGTTGACTCATTATAAAAAAGAAAAAAAAGTTATATAAAGGTGATGCTCTAAACAATAAAATTAAGGCACTTCAAAATTCCACTATAAATAGTTTATTTGGATGCCTACAAATACTCAAATTTATCTTCTCGACCTTAAGATGTGTGTCTATTTGGATGCCTACAAATCCTCAACCTCAGTACGGAAGAGTCTTGAAATGTATATATGAAAAGTAAAATGTTTTAAATGTTTATAGATGCCATTTGAAATTTGAAATTTTATAATAAAAAACCTTATATAGAGTCAAGGCTTTGACAC